CGAATCAAACTCGTCGCGAGGTTTTTGTACGAGATCTACTAAATATGAACGTTATTAAGCATTGTTTAAGTCGAAACGAAATTTTGCCACCAAAATCCAGGAATCAAAGTCAACGAAGACATTCAAGAAACAAAAAAATCTCTGGTTTTATCAAGGAAATTATTAAGTGCTGATCGACGCAGTTCTGAAAGAAATCCTGTTTCAAAGGGGTTAACGAAGAGGTTAAATTAACTCGGGGTGACATTCGCATCCAGAAAGCCGGGAGAAAGAAAAATTGTTCCTTCTGACAGGAACTATCAAAGTATTCGTCGATTCAGTAAACAAATTACCTACATCTTATGGGAAATCGGAGGTCAGGAAAACAATGATTAACGAAGCATGTACTGAAAACGTTGATCAAGAGGTTGCCGAGCATTTCGGGCGGAATCGGCAGAGAAGTATGCGCCGCGGAACACGACTCTGGCATTCCGCATGTATAATTTAGCGTTGCGTAAGACTGTAAAGGCGACGGGAATCGACGCGACGCGATGCACTGTGGTCTGGCCGAGCAGCGATCCATGACAAAAACTCAATTTTCCAATTTTCGTTCTTTGAACGATTGTTTTCTTTTTTCTAATGGGTTTACGAACCCCCAAAGCTTTAAAATCTAAAATATTAGTTCATTCGTGCGGTTCTATGATTAGATATAACATTATGAAGACCAGCTAATGAAAGTTTAGAGAAACGTATTTGTTAAATTAATTATTATACGGTATGAATGTATAAGTTTGTGTTCCATTATTATGTTGGTAAGCTGGTATATTTTAGTTACTTATGTAACATGTATCCACTTTTTACTTAATGTGTAAATGTTGAAATGCAAATAATTCCTACATATACCAATCGCCTCATCTGGTTTTAATTAGGCGAGGTAACAAACGAGACAATACCCAGTCTCATGTGAAACCTAATCTATCAATGCTGTTCTTCCTAATTAAGCAACCACAGTGTGTACACGTATGCGATATAATAAGAGTGAAATTGTAATAAACATTGCAATATATACAACAATTCAAACTTTAGGAAGACTTACGGAAAAACAGTTAAAAGTTGTTCGAACGAGACTTGTTTGATACGAAAACTGATTCAATTGTTACATATTTTTATGTTATTACATATCTTTGACTCGATAACATTGTCATGTCCTGCGATCGGACACGAATTTTTTTTTAAAAAATTCGCAAAACGTTTATGCGAAATCATTAAATCAAACGAAAATGTTAAACGCGCGAAAATCGTGTTGATTCGAGTTCACACGAACTGTACATAAAGTTAAGCGAAATAGTAGTTTATTCGAGTGTAAGAATCTGTTTAAATCCGCCACTATTGAACATTTGAATACGGTGAAATAACTATTTCGAACTCGTAAGAGTTAACAACTAAGTCGGGAATGTTTAAATGCGAGACAAAGAGAACTCTATAAAAATAAAAGGTCGAAGGATGTAACAATATTCTAGCTGATATCGAGACGAATTCAACGACCTACTATACTACAACCTAAACCATTTTCACTCGAGTGGCGACCCCAAAGCGCCATTAAAAATTCTTGTGACACATTTCAAACTAATTTTATTAATCAAAGTTGCTTATATTCAAATAATTGTTAAATGCGTAACTGTTGTATGAGTCACGAAATTCAATTTCATGTGTATAAAATTGCATGAAA